CATCCTGTGTAAGGCTGGACGCGATGGTGAATCAGGTGAATAATGCTTTTATAGCTATTAAGGCAAATAAAGGGAGGAGTAGGAATTGGGCAAGACGTTTTTCATTTCCTTGCTGACGAAGGTTCGAACGTCCCTTGGGAGTAGTTATTCGTCTTGTTGCTGCCTTTGAATAGTATATCCGCCCTTTCAACTGCCATGAATTAGTCTACTTAATTTTAAAGAAGCTAAATGAGATTGAAAATAAACTTGATGTTCATGTAAAGGCTACCACCCGGTTATTCAGTGAAATTTCGCCTTTTTCAAGTTCGTATTGAATGGCAGACTCATTGTCTTTCAAAGCACAGATGGGCGAGAAATGGAGCTACGCTATTAGAGAGATCTCGATGCAAGTTTTGTGAGGGTGCGAGTTCCGTGTAAGAATACAGAAGTCCAAGGTTCTAGTATGCATCCTTGACGGAGGCTAGAAATGCTAGAAATTCTTTGAGATCTATCTCTCCGTCCCTATTTGAGTCCACAGAATCGAAGATTTGCCTTGCAAGACTAATTGAAGCCGGCATATTGAATGCTTGAATGGCCGATAGAACCTCGTCCAATGAGATTGTTCCGGACTTGTCCAAATCCATGTAGCTAAAGAAGTGCTTGAAAGCAGTTTTCCTGAAATATGAATTGTTTTCGTTAGTGGGAAGATAATCAAGGCTTTTAGTAGACTCGTTTACTTTGTTTTCTGCATGTTCTGCGTATACATTTGTGCCAAGCAGAATTTGGGCAAATACACTCACTGAGCGGCACTCAAATGATGAGTAAGGGGGAATTTCACGAATTACAAATCTAACCACTAATAGCTGGAATAGTCGAAATAGAATGAGATGGAGATTGTGAAGTGCATAATTTATCTTTCCACACTTAGGGGAAAATGTCACTTGCCATGAGAACTTCTTGTTTAACTCACTTGAAAGCAAGCGGTCCATTTGATAATAGTCTCGGGTAAGTGTCGGATTGACTACGAGTGTTGGCATCTGAGTGCTATTTGAAATCCTAGAACAGGTCTTGGAAGATGCCCTACTATGTATGGTTGAGACAGTGTTCTGCGAACATGCAACACGTCTGATGGATGGGCTCGCCAGCAGTAGTGAATGATCGGCTTAGGCAAACAATTTTAGTTGCAGTTGATTCTAAACTTCATGCCAAAGTCAATATGCTCCATTACGTGCTGAAACCCAGAAAACCTTCATTTTCGCACTAAAGTTTGTCGGATGAAAGAGCTCGTACCAAATGTAAAAGACTTCATTGGCAGTGGGATGGTGAAAATATAGCCTACTTGAATTTTTCCACGCAAATGCGTTTAATCTGTTCACTCATTGGGTCGAGAGGAATGCTGTCCTCCTTTTTGTCAATCCCGATTTTATTCAACGCTCCCTGTAAGTTGAGGGAACAACGGAGTCAATAACCAAATGCATGCAATAAAATAATACTGAATTAGGTTCATCCTCTAGTTATTTACTTAATTCGAAATCCGAATTAAAGTGGTAACTTAAGGAACAGGGTGATAGAAGGCGTTAATGTGAGTGCTTTAGATAAAAAATTGCAAATTTCCAAGCCAAAAAGTTTGAGTGTAAGAGATCGCTTCAATCTACGTGGTCTATCTCGGTTTACTACGGTTGAGTTATTCAAAAGTACACACATGACGATTTTCTTAGGCACTCAAGCCTTTTAAATAGTACAAACAATATTTCTTGCGTCAGTATGAAGTAGAGGAATCATTTGGATTTGGAGATGACCTACTTTGAGCTCACGAGACCCAATGTCAAACTGCGACGCGGCCTTCCTAGCCTCAACTTTGGTTAGAAACCCATCATTATTCGAGTCAAACATGGAGAGCATGCTGTCAACGAAGTTGTTCCCCCTAAAAATGCATCAAATATCCCGGTTATTGTGACTCCTTAGTGGTTCGGCGCATATAGGCTCCACGAGTTACCAACATGAATGTTTAA